CGATGAGTGATATTTTCTCTCTCTTTTTTATATATATATATTTTTTCATATATGTATTTTTTTATATATATATATATATATATATATATATATATTGCATCGGATCGGACGAAACGAAATCATCCACCGCATACCCTTTTATTTTTATTTAGGTTTATTTTGAAAATATAATTAAATAGAGGGGTCAAAGTGAAAACAAAAAAGAGAGCCAAGGCTTGACCGAAGGCGAAGTTGTAAAATCAAAACAAGAGGTTGGTGGCATCTCTCAAAAACAATCAAAATCACACCACCGGCCAACCAACCGGATTCAAACCTAAATCTCCTCCCTCTGATTTTTCTCCAGCGTTGAATTGTTTGGTTTGACTCGCCGGAGAGAGATGGACGGAGACGGAAAAGTGTTCACCTTGGCCGAGGTTTCCCAACACAGCACCAAACATGACTGTTGGCTCGTCATCGGCGGCAAGGTTCGATCTCTCTCTCTCTCTATCTTCTTTCGTCGGAATTTGATCGAAATATGATTTCCCTTTTCCCTGGTGACTTGTTTGGTTGTTCGATCTGAGTTCCTGCAACTGTTTTTACATCGCGGGCATCCCGAGTTTGGTTGAAAGCTTTCGCCTTCCAAGATTCGTCGTGTGGTTCCTTTGTCCGGTCCAGGACTTGGCTGTTATTCATGTCTCCTCGTCTGATCTGACTTGATTTGCATCGTTTTCGTGGTGGTTTTTTCATGTCTGTCCGGTTCAAATATTGACATTTTGGATTCACGATCTGGAATCTCTCAATGCACTGTTAGATTTATCGGGGGCCCTTACAGTTCTGGATTGGTGCGAGATTTGTGTTTGCTTGTGAAACCTCGTCAGAGTAAAACAGATCCGTTCTCTAAACTTTTGGTAATGCTCGACTGTTAGTTCAATGTGTTCAGTCAGATCCGTACAACCATCTTCTGTTTAGGACTAAACTAAGCAAGTTAAGTGTCTGTCGCCATCCTTGGGTTACCTTGTACTCTGCCTGTCATCAATGAGGAGAGATCATGATGAATGAATGGATGTGTTTGTGAATCTTTGGTTGTTACTGTTGTCATGGCATAGGTGTATGATGTGACAAAGTTCTTGGACGACCATCCTGGCGGCGACGAGGTCCTGTTGTCTGCTACAGGTAAGAGGGAGAGAGATCACAAGTTCATTGTAGGAAACAAAAAATAGCAAATGCAGTTCAGTTCTAAGTGAGAAATCACTAACCTTTTTCTCACTTTGATTCCGATGTTGCGTGATTGTGCAGGGAAAGACGCTACCGATGATTTTGAGGATGTGGGTCACAGTACGACGGCGAAAGCCATGCTTGATGAGTACTATGTGGGTGATATAGACTCGGCCTCGATCCCGAGCAAGACCAGTTACACCCCACCGAAGCAGCCTCAGTATGACCAGGACAAGACATCGGAGTTCATCATTAAGATCCTTCAGTTCCTTGTTCCTCTTCTAATCCTAGGATTGGCTCTCGGCGTCCGTTTCTACACCAATTCTGCTTCTTCTGCTTGAAGACTGTCAATTCGAGAAACCGGGTAATAAGATTATGATCACTTCTGGTGTTGTGTTCTATTCTACTGTTAGATACCAGACACCTCTATTTATTTCTGCAGTTTTGGTTTAGAACTGCAAATGGAACTCATCGTCATGTAATCTGGAAGAGACAGACCTTAAGGTTATCCAAAAACCTCATAATGTTTTTGATTCTCAATCATCTGTCTATCTTCTGCTGTCTTGCATCATCAACCAAATCCATTACAACTAGACACTGTTCGAGTTCGAATGGGTTTCAAGACCTCAGACATTAGATCTTAAAACAGTGATACATCCACAGATATGATCCTGTTTGGCGGGAAAAAAAAAAGAGATGGGGTCTCTGATATAATTAAATTGATACCGCAGAAGATTTCAATGCAAATTGAACGACAAACACAACAAAGGACACGCGAGAGAGCCCTGCGGATTTCTGTGGGTTTATCAACAAAGACATCATATGACCCATTACCAGTAAAACCTAACCCTTCAACATGCTCAGAAACATCACCATCCCCTCATCAATATATACATGTACCTATTACAGAAGCACCAGATAATTGTATATATATAAACTCGGAAGGGGGATTAGTACAGAGATTATGAGGTCCAGATCCCTAAGCTACTTTTCCAGCGTTTCTCTAACCACATATTACTACTTCAGTTTCCTCCTGACTAAGGAATCTGATGTTTGGTTAGTCTTTTAATCCACCTGATCCCTAAATCACATTCTTTGGGAGCTTCTTCTGTTATGATGATGACCCTTTGTGCTTCTAATGGTGGAAGAGCTCATGGAACGAACTGTACCCATTCGTAACGTCCAGGGAGAGGCAGATCGTTCACAACATCGAAGTTGTACCTTTAGAAAATCGGAGAATACCGGAATTCAGATGATGATGATGATGAAGATAATGTATGCAGAATATGATGAAAACTACAAACCAAGAAGGATGTTTACTTCTCCATGAAAAGTCTATGTTGTTGTTCCTCTGCGTAGACAAAAAACTCCTCCAATTCACGAGTGGTCGGGCCAATTCTCTGTGTATTGTCTTCTCGCCCATTTCTGTAAATCGAGGCCACTGTGCTCCTCTGCCTCGTGCTAGGACCCGGGGTGACAATGGCATGGAGCTCCCCTGCAATGCTACATGGCGTGCTCTCTCGGGTGCTCCTGCAAGGGAAAAAAAACTAGAGGTTAGTAGTCAAACCGAGGTTGTAATACCACATGATCATATAACAAATTGCTCAAAGAGAACCAAATCAAAACTAAAAAAACCTCCACTTACACCCAAAAAATCAAAGCTAAGACTGTAATTACATGCTCACTCCTGGGAAGCAGACAGGCTTGAGTTCGGTCCCATGGGATATGCTACCTCATAAATAACAGGGAAACAAAAAAAGAGACAAAACCCATTGTCACCTACTGGGTCGCTTGCCTGAAAACTGAGTGCCCCACAGGCCCACACAACTGTTCCGACCGTCCAAACTAATAGGGGCCCAATGAACAAAGGTACGACAATACTTGCACTACACTTATGAGGAAAGGTCAGTTTTCCTATGAACTTCAATACAAAATATTTTCTCCTACCTAGGCTTTCCCATGAAGATACATAACAAAGATCTTATGTAAATCCAATACATTTACAGTTGAGGACAGAGGCATGGAGAATCGGATTAAGTGTAAGACCCTTTTGTATCTTAACACAAACTACTAATCAATCATTGTTGCAGTTGGATGCAAACTGAGAATACGTTGGACAAAGCAAGACTGCATGTCAGTTTGAAGCAGAAGAGTTATGTTGTAGAAGCAAGTAAACCTACACAAACAGTGATGGTCCTAGAAACACGTCTTCAAGCATCTGAAATCTCAATCAAGTGAGCAAGAACATGCATGAAGCAGAAAGTCGAACCTGTCTCCGGTTTCAAAACCCATGTCGTTCTCTCCAAATGAAGCTTCTGCATTAGCTTCCTTTCCCCTCTCTGTCCCAGGGAAAACATTGTTCACAGAATCACCTTCATAGCCCGAAACACCACCGTAATTGCCAAAACATTCATCTCCATCGCAGCTCCGACTAGCAGGAACCGAACCCGATTCTGATGTACCCGATTTCTCCCCACCCACACGAGACCTTGAACTCAAATCTTTGATTCCCTTGACATCCGACCCCTGGTGTCTCTGCTGCTGCTGCTGCTGCCTCTGTTGTTTCTTGGGTTCGGTCAGCAACGGCGGTTTCACGAGACGGCGGCTACGGAGCTGGAGATAGCACAAGGATCCACCTAAGACGGCGGAACAGTCTGGATTACCCGCCGGAGATGCGGCGGCGGCGGCGGCGGAGGCGGAGGCAGAGCAGGAGTTAAGCCTCTGCAAGGCTAGGGTTTTAGCGGCCCTTGTACGGACACCCGAGGAGGTTGGTTGAGAGACCTCCATTACACCAGCTTCTCCAGCTATCATCGATTTCTTAAAGTATTTTCCCATTTTCGAACAGGCACTGATTTTCTCGGAGGCAAAGCTCGAAGGCTAGGAAAATGGGAGGGAAAATTGTTTGGAGGAAGAAGAAAAGGAAAACATAATACTAAGAAATTAGGGCTTTTGTGGGGATAATAAAGGTCTAAGCTTTTATAAAATTTAGAAATTAAATCTTTAATAATCAAAATCCATCATTAATATTCCAAAACTGACCCAATGGCCCCCACTGTCATTTTGTCTTGTTTCAAATCATTCTACCTTTTTTTTTCACCCTCACAATTATTTTTATTTAGGTTGCATTATTTTTGCAATCATTACTTAATAGTTATAAACATTAATATACTATGCATATGAATGTGTAAATATGTAAGATATATAATTATCCTCGTAGAGTGTATATGTTTTTGTATATTATCTACAATTACATGATTCTGTAATTACTGATTGACTCGGAAGTACTTGAATATTCTTTTATAGTTTTGGTATTCTTTTACACTTGAATATACATATATATATATATATATATATGTATATTATTTACCCAAAATAATATTTATTTAAATAACATATAGATAAATCAGTGTTGGTGGGAGTTATAACGATTCAAGGATCACATTTCGGGAAATCAATCAACTTTTGGAAATTGGGAACGGCCATTGGAAATTGTTGTTTTGTTCTTGTTTTTTTTGTTTAAATTTTAAAGTATATTAACCCTTTGAATTTAATAAGTTAAAGCCATAAATTCGGGGGAAAGTTGGGGTTAAAGGCCACAACACTAGGGTGTTAATCAATGACTAATAAGGTTATTTTAGTACCTTGAGAGTTTTGTGGAGATAATATAATTGTAATCAATAAAAAAATAAAACAATAAGAATGGAAATTAAATTATATATAATTTTTTGTAGGATTTTCGTTATAAAGAAAACTTTATTATAAGAAAAAAAAATCGAAACTAAAACTATATACTAAAAAATAATTAATTAAAGATATAATTATATTAAATTTTTACTTTTTGAAATTAAAATAATGTTGTCAGCATTCCAAGGAGACGAGAAAGTTGTTTAAACATTTCTAATCATCAAAAGGTAAATTTGCCATCTTTAATTTCAAACCATTTGATAGATTGGTCGCCAACTTGCCAGGCTGAATTTGAGTTTTTAGTGAATTTCAACTGTATACCAAATATATTTTAAACAACAGAGGATGTTCATAGCTATTTAAAGATGGGAAAAAAGTTTAAATATCATAGGAAGATTTTTCAAGCCATAAAAAAAAGTAACATAAGTCGGATTGATTTATTAGTCTATAATTATTGTGAATATTTATTATAAAAACACCAAAATTGTTTATTAACTCGCAAAAAAATTAACTAGATTGTTTGATTATGAAAAGTGGAAAACCATAAGAGAAATTTAGGTTTTCAAAACTTGGTTTCGCAAGACACGTGTTGCTTGTTTTGGTATATTCCGAAAATATCCTTCTGAGTCTGAGCCATAACGATTTCAAAAGATGTTGGACTACATTGGATTCCTCATAAATAATAATAATAATAATATTATTATTATTATTACATTTCAAATTTAATTATATATATATGTATATATTATATATATGAACATTTGCTGATGGATAATTTGAATATAAATCTATAGAAATAAAATCCAGTTAATTTATTTTATTTTTCATTAACTTGCCGCCGGTAGAGGGCTCCCAAGGTATATAATATCATATTAGCATTTAAAACGATTATATAAGGAATATGTAACAGATAATAACGTTAATACTATGTATATTTTATATTCTGATTTTTTTTCATACAGTATATGATCAAGTTTTAATTTTAATTTTTGTATGTTTAAATACCATATTAATTTATGGTAAACGAAATCATCTACGTAACTCACACAAAGAATGATGAATTGGTAATATACGATAATATGATGTCATAATATATTTTTTTTTTTTGGTAAAGTGTCATAATATGTTCGAAAAAGATAATATGGAACTTATGTAACAAACCAACAAAATTTAAACTTTTTTATAAATAACTCATTAAAATGCATAATACAAATCGATACACAAAATTGTTAAAAAAACATATGATTAAAAAAATAGTTTTCAAATAATAATTTAAAAAATGAAATGCGGCGGCAGTGGATGGCAAAAATGTAAAAAGGTCGCGAAGCCAATCAATGATGCAAACACGGATTCCTCCCTAAGACACTAAACTACATCGAAGCGCCTCTCTTCGCGTCCTCCCGCCCTTTTTTCCCTTCCTTTCTGATACTTTCCCGCGCCATTCATCAATCTGACTAAAACACGCTTTAATTACAAATTGACCATTGTATAATAACCGGTTGATTCTATGCAACCCAATAACCGGTTGACTCGTTTGATCAGCTCTAATTAAAATTCGGAAATCGAATCGAAAATCAAACGCAATACGTAATGGGCTGAAAAATAAAAGAGACGAGATCAAACGCAATCCATTGAAACTGATTTCCGTACAGAATGCAGACGGGGGTTGTTGGTTGTCGATGAATTCGTTTCTCGGATCTTCCAGATTTCAATCTGAATTTCCTGTTTGAATTTTTTTTTTTTTCAAAAACGGGTTGTTGAAGAATTTCGTCAAATCTGTATTTTTATTATCTATTAATTAATTGCTGCCCGGTCCAATCCAGAAGTTTGTGGTTAATTTCGTAAAAATTCGAAAGTTTTGAAAACAAATGGGGTCTACATATAATGTGAACTTCCTAGAATCTGGTCGGTCGCACGCCACGCCTGCATTGATCGTGGAGTCAAAGACACGTGTCATAAGTATATTGGTCTGTATGTTCCAGAATGAAATACAACGACAGAAGACGCTGTCTCCGATAACCGCTTCCCTAAACGGCATCGTACAAGAAACTTTGAATCCCACGCCTTATATAAAGCTCCCCCGATCGGCACATTTCGAATTTTGCTTCAGATTTGGGTTTGTCGACGATTCCAATATTCCCGAAGGAACAGCCGACGGCGAATTTTCTCTTCGTTTGTTCGTAAGCGATCTTTCCCTCGCTTTCTCCTTTTCGATTTCTGTTCGATTTTGCTTTAGAACGTGCGTCGGGGTTTCGCCTTCAGTATCGACGATTTCTGGTTCTCGTTTAATCGTTTTCTTGTTGGAGAACCTTTGGATTGGGGTGTCTTGGATCTGTTGGATTGGGAGGGATTGAATTTGGATTTGGTGCTTGTGGTGCGGAAATTCTGGCTTTTAAGCTGTCCCTCTGGTGACTTTTCGATTGAAATCATTCAGGTCGTTAGCTGTTTTCGAGGATTTGAGTCTTCGAAGTCAGAATGGCTGAGGTATGATCTTTTATCATGCTTGGTTGCGTGTTACCTTTATCTGCCGCGAAGAAATGTCTTGGCTTGAAAAGAGTTTGATTTGGTTGTACTGTGGTTATTGGATTGAATGGGTGGTGGTTGCAGGAAGCTCACCGAGTTACGCTGAATGTTTACGACCTTAGTCAAGGATTGGCGCGACAGCTCTCAACGACATTTTTGGGAAAGGCTATTGATGGTATATGGTGAGTTACCCCTGTGACTATTTGGTAGAAGTCGCCACATTTCTTGGCCTGAGCCTCTGCCTTTGTTTTCCTAATTCTCAATGTGGGTTATATTTCTGCAACACTTGATGTTCACTTAGGGTTTGGACTTCCTATGGTCAGTGCCAAATATGTTGCAGCTTTGGATTAAGAGTATAGCAGGTTGAGGAAAATAGTTGCAGATAATCTAAGCTGATCGAATTCCCTGTTGACTTTTTGTAAGCCTGTAGCTGTAGTAAACAAACCATTTTGGTTCTGTGTTTAGATTTAAGATTAGATCAATCTTCTGCTTTGTTTGTGAATGCTAACGCGTGAAGGCTGTACTCTATTCAAGGCATACGGGAGTTGTTGTCTATGGGAACGAGTACTTCTTTGGAGGAGGAATCCAGAGTCTGCCGGCTGGAAGAACTCCGTATGGTACACCAGTTCGTGTGATTGAGTTGGGCGAAACACATGTTCCCAACGATGTGTTTGAGATGTACTTGCAGGAAATCAGTCCTCGTTACACGGCAGAGACCTACAGCTTGCTCAGTCACAACTGCAACAACTTTAGCAACGAGGTGTCTCAGTTTTTGGTGGGTAAGGGAATTCCAGACTATATTCTACAGCTCCCCAATGAAGTTATGAACAGCCCGATGGGAGGCTTAATAAGTAAGTCTTTGATAACATACTAACCTCATGCCAGAACGCCCCTTTCCTCTGCAATCTTGAGCTTCACTCTCATGTATCTGCTTTCACTGAATCTGCAGTGCCCATGATACAAAACATCGAGGCAACCCTGAGAGCAGGTGCTGTTCCTCAAGTTCCACACTTCAGGCCAAAGACACAGCCTTTTCAACCTTTTGGAAAAGATGAAGGTCCAAGACTGGTCTCGAAACCCGATAAAGCCAAGGAAGCCGAAGAAGAGAAACATCGAAAGTCCGCCCCGTCTGCAGAATCTGACCAAGTCCCACCTGCCATGAAGCCGGCAGGACCCACTGAACAGAAGATGAAGGACCCGTTGGGGGATGCAAGGAACAAGGTTCAGGAAGAGATTGGCCGTGAATTTGCGGCTCTCATGGCGGAAGGCACTCTCCGAGCCAGTGAGGCCGCCGCTCTTGCCACTAGGAGAGTTATGAAGAAGTACGGCCATCTTAATGTAGCCAGTTCTTGACCTGTCGTCAGCACCAAACTCAAATCATATACTGTGTTTATATACATATATGTGTGAGAGACTTCGCGAACGGACCGTCAGATTCTTGAGAAACGCAAGGAATTGGGAAGGCTCTTTCTTCCATCACGCACCCAATTTCTATGGCATACAGATCCACACAACTCCCACTGAAAAGGGGGAAAAAAGATGAATGATAAATCAGACAGTGTTTCATCATGCTTGATGTTAGATTCTTTGGGCTTTATTACCACTTTCTCAAAACAATTGATGTTTTTGAAACTCTTTTGGTATATAATATAAATCACCTTAAAACCAAAAAAAAAAACTCTTCTTCTTTTTGGTAGTGTCTTAAAATGGCGTTCCGAAGCGTGAACGCTCGACTCGTTTGAAGAAATTCCGGTAACTTGTCGGTGGCATAAATTGGAAAGGCGGCGTCAGTCGGAACCATCTGAGGTTCTTCATGCGTGGCGGTAAGCCGCCGTCGCGACGAGTGATTTGGGATTTGGTGGAACCCTGTTTCCCTGAGCTGTTTTCCTTTTACGGTTTGTCTGGAACCGGAATGAATACTCTTGTTCGACTTTGATGAATGTGGGGGCAGTTGAAACGGGGGAATTCAGATTGGTGCGAGTCCATGGAAGGATGGAACCGATGGCCACCCGATTCCCCAAGATCCATAGTCCATTGATTCAGAAATCGGACACGAGCGTTCTGAATCCATGGCTTGGTTCCGTTAGAAATGAGCTGGTGCTGGCATTCGAGATGTGTTTTTGGTCGGGGAGAATATGATCGATCTCTCCCGTATGCAAGGGTCCAGACATGGAGACAGGAGGAGATTCTGGATATTCAGAAAGGTACCACACTTGTCGTTACGAGCTTTTGTTTCTCAGTGGACGAATCAAAATTTTTCATTCTCAGATGGAATCGTTTGCACATTACATTCACATCCCAAGCAAAGACAAAAACCCTAAACCCTTAATTTCCAAGCAAACACAAAGAAAAGAAAAAAGAATACACCTTCACCATTTCACACCCTTCTTCTATTCAGAAACACTTGGATTCCTCGAATGAGGCCTAGAAGCCGCGGCCCACTCCAAGGCCTCTGCCACGGCCCGTTCCCTCTCCTCCTCGGCCTCCTTGAGCCCCGGAGGAGCCTCGGGAACGTGGGGGGAAGGAGCCACCGCCACCACTGCCAAGGGGCCACCCTCCTCAGGTGGGGTGGCCCTCAGGAAGGAGAGGGCCGTGACTACGTCGCTGATGAGGGGACGGACCGAGGCCTCCTCCTGCAGGCACATTGCCGCTACGGCCACTCCCTGGTTCAGTGCTTTCTCCGGGAATTCGCCTCGGAGGAGCGGATCTGCTAGCTCCCGGAACCTGCTCGGCTCTTTGAACACCGGTTGTGCCTTCACCACAATATATAACATCACATAAATCCGAAATCTCTGCATCGAAAAAGTTCATCTGAGGAAGAGGAGGAGGAAGAAGAAACTCACCCAAGTGACGAGGTTCTGCTCGTCCATGGGTCTGTTATTGTCGATAACCCTTCGTCCAGTGATCAACTCCAACAACACAACTCCGAAACTGTAGACATCAGATTTGGCCGTCAACTGTCCTGTCCTCTGGTACTCGGGAGCACAGTATCCGTAAGTTCCCATAACTCTGGACGACACGTGCTGTTTGTCTCCGACCGGACCCAGTTTGGCTAACCCGAAATCCGATAGCTTGGGGTTGAAGTCGCCGTCTAGGAGAATGTTCGCCGACTTCAGATCCCTATATATCACCGGTGGATCTGCCTTGTCGTGCAAATACTCCAGACCCTTTGCAGCTCCTAACGCTATCCGTATCCTCGTATTCCAGTCCAATGGTGTCTGGTCCGGCGTTAGATCTGAAAAACAAAACATCAAATATTCGGACCGATCTAAATGTTTTGGAAGAAAGAGAGAGCGAGGGGATGAGAATTATAACCAAGGAGATGATCTTCAAGGGAGCCAAGAGGCATGTATTCATAGACAAGAAGTCTCTGGTCTCCATCAGCACAGTAGCCAATAAGATTAACGAGATGCTCGTGTTTTAGCAGACTTAACATCAACACCTCCACTATGAACTCTTTGTTCCCTTGCAACCCATTTCTGTCAAGTTGCTTCACTGCCACAATCTTTGAAAAGAAAAAGGATTCACAAATTTGCAATTTTCAGCAGCAATAGAACAGTTTATTGCATCTAATCCGAGTGAAAAATGTGATCTTTGCATTGGAGTAAGACCCAAGAAGACGGTTAGATGATTTACCTGTCCGGATTTCTCGATCTTTCCCTTGTAAACCCTTCCAAAACCGCCTTCCCCGATCAAACATTCTTGTCTGAAGTTCTTGGTTGCAGTGGCTAGCTCACGGAAAGTGAACGTTTGAGCTGCGATGTTGTTCGTGACTTCTTTGTTCGCATCTTTGTTCTTGCTCTGTTCGGTTCCGGTCTTTGTCTCTGGAGCATTACAAGCATCAAAGTGCAAAACTTTACTACACGATACGATCCGAAACCCCAGCTTTAAACCCTAAATTTCGTAACCGAGAGCGAGCTTTTTACCGGGGTGCGTTTGTTGAGCCTTGTTGGCTTTGCCGGGCAATTGGGCATTCTTCCGGCTACTGTTGGTTCTTGATGTACTCTTCCTTTCATGGAAATAGAAACATGAAAAGCAATTCATTTCCTCCTTCTCTATCCTTCAATTCTGGAAGAAAAAAAACTGTCTTTTTTCCTTCCCTGTTTTCAGGGATTCTGTTTAAGTGTCTAATGATGCTTCGACGATACACCTGACTAAAGAACCCAACACATCTGCCGGAAAATCTGAATCCTGGGATCCAAAATTTGAATAATTTGCTCGACAAAGAGTCTGAAAAGATGGAGAATTTAAGATCAAAATGGGCCTTGTTCAATCACATAACCCTCCAAAAGCCACAGACAGCGACTGTCCCTCGCTTCGATTTATCCAAGAACCCTAGCAAGAAGAGAGACAAAAAAAAAACATTTCAGATAAATGGGTTTCCAGGAAATGGGAAAATATCTTCGGATTTGTTCATAGAATCGGGACAACGGAAGTTACCCCCTTATGCAAGAAACCCCTAGGGTTCTTTTTTCCTCAATCTTATACGTTTTGACAAGAAAACAGCAAAACGGGACACGAACCGACCAAACCCAGATCAAGAACCACCAAGAAAAAAAAGAAATGTTCAGAGCCGAATCGACCGAAGATCACTGGGATTCGATTTGCTGAGGCCGAGAGAGTTCCCGAGAAAATTGGAGGGAGAAAAAAGGGAAATTGAAGTTTGGGATATCAGGACGTGATCTGTCTTAATATAGACAATACTTTTAAGGTTTAATTATGTAATAAGAAAGATGGTTTTCCATATCTCTGCGCCCAATGTATGAGTGCCTCACATTTCTCGAGCTTGTAATATATTATATATTATATATTATATAAAGTATTGGTGAAGAACAATTCGTGTGTGTGTGTATATATATTTAAAGATCTACTTGCGCATTTGTTTACTTTCTATTCTTGATCATTTGATTCGGGCAGTTTTTGTAATCATAATGCATCGAGAGGGTGAAATAAAAGTGATTAGAGAGTCTGGGTTTACTTTAGAAGTCTAGCCAAATAACCATAGGGAAAATCGTGTATATAAATACTATATTTTTACAAATTTTTTAAAAAAATAACCAGTAGCGGACTGAGATTATTCTGGGGGCAATAATAAATTTTATAAGGATAAATTTACTTTTGTAATGGGACAGTTAAAAATTCTATTAAAATTTTATAAGATTTGTAAGGAAAATAATTTTTTTAAATAAATCAATGGGGTCTGTGACCATGTAAATAACTGAACTAGAAATTTCTAAATAAATATCTGAACTTTTTCAAAATTTCCATATAAATATTTAAATTTTTAAAAATTTAGCAAATAAAATTAAAATTCATTAACGATATTAAACTTATAATGGGATCTGTCAATAATTGTCATCAATGAATATTGTTTTATTTGTTAAATTTTTAAAAATTTGGATATTTAAAAAGGTTTTGAAAATTTAGTTATTTATTTGGAAATATTATAGTTTAGATATTTATTTGAGAATTTTATAAAAGTTAAGGTATTTATTCATGTACTATTTTCCGTTTTTGTTTATTAATACAGTATGTTATATATATATAGTTAGTTATTTATTTGGGAATATTATAGTTTAGATATTTATTTGAGAATTTTATAAAAGTTAAAGTATTTATTGATGTGCTATTTTCCGTTTTTGTTTATTAATACAGTATGTTATATATATATATATATGAAAAAAAAAAAGAGAATTATATTAAAGAATTTGTAACATGGAGACCACAAAGAGAAAAACTACAGCGACAAAACAGGTTGGATGGGATGTGATGTAGATGTGTCTTAGGTTTGCAGTTCCTCAACGTGGCACGAACTATATATTAGAAACATAACATAATATATATTTGGCATATTTAATTATTTACATATATCTATATATATATTACAAAAATTCAAAAGTTCTAAAATACCCAATAAACAGATACATAAATATAAATGTAATTTTCTAGAAAGGAAAAGAAAAGAAAAAAGGCGACCATTTCAACTGTTAAGACCGTCGAAGACCAAGAAATGAACTCGGCAAAGAGAATTTCTCACTCTTTTATTCAATCTAAAGAAAAAACGAAATGTTTGTGAGATCAAAGATTATAGTGAGTCAAAATCGATTTGTTTTATATCAAAGTTACCAGTGGCAGACAACATATGACAAATCCCAACAAACATAAATTTCGACATTTCCTCGCATAATTAATGTTCAAAAATCAATTTGGGAATAATTCAATTTTATTTTAGAATTGCAACCATGGGGGTGGTGGCGCAGTTGGCTAGCGCGTAGGTCTCATAGCTTCTGAGTGATCCTGAGGTCGAGAGTTCGAGCCTCTCTCACCCCATTAACCTTTTTTTTTTCAAATGTTTTTTTAAAACAAAAACCCATGGAAGATGGCTATGATTGTAAGGTGGGATCATGTGAAGAAGAAAGAACCAAGGCGTCGGCCATTGATGAAGAGTGTCATGGACTGGTCAAAGTTCCATTGGGCATATACATTTTCTACCAATTTTGTCAGTCTCGACCAAAGTTTGTGGCTTTTAGGGCTTTTGATCAAATCTTCACTTGTTTACTGTTTACTTCTTCAGCACGTAACGTTAACATGTCCACTTTTAATTTAAAGACATGTCATTACATACATAACGTATATTGCTTCTTTTTTTAATTGTAAAGTGACAGTTTGGTAAAGAAAAGGGCATATCCCCTTTGATCCAAGGCAACGTATGACCAACCACACCACCAAATTTTTTTTAGTAAAAAAAAACCAGAGTTTTTAATTTATACAAATATACAATAGAATTACTACTCAAATCATTAAAAAAAAACTACCTTCATAAATCTAATTATCATAAATAAAAATTCGAACCAATGAAGCTGAAGTCTATAATAAGGTGTAGATATGTGGCATTATTGGACAATATGATAAACGAGAGTGGAGGAAAATAAACTAACAAAGGTCCAAAAACGGAATCATAGACCAAGAGATTAGAACATGAAAAGTATACGAGTTCTTATTTTTAATGGGCAATATAGCACAAATACCCTTACTATGCTACACAGACTTCACGGACTACCCTCCAAAACCCTAGTTTTTCAAAAAAAAAAACTAAATGAGCAAAAGACATAATTGACCTTAATGAAAACTACACGTGGCGCAACATGAAGGAAGGACGGTTAATCTTCCCGAATCGACACCCCTAACTTAGTCGGTTTCGAGACAAATTTCAAAACTGTTTGCTTCTGTCTCTCTTGTTAAAAAAAACTGGTTTTTCAGAAATCCGGCGAAATCCTTTCGTTTGTCGTCGATTCTCACAAATCAGAAGAATGGCTTCAAAATCGAACAGAAATCAAAAGAAGACTTCAACTCCCGCTCGCAAATCGGGACGCGGCGGAAGAAAAAACCAGGAACTGAAGGTAAGTTTGGTAGTAAATGACTTTGAGTTTGAGGCGATGCAAGAAATATGTGTTTTTTGGGTTTGTGTTTATGATTTTTAAGTTAATCGTGTGATTTATGGTGAAAAATGGGTTGTTAGATTCACTGAAACGGAAGTTAGGGTTTAGCTGGTCACAGTGGTCACAATGGTCACACTGACTGATTGAGTGTTGATTTCTTCTTTGCAGGTTCCGTTTATATATGATTTCTCAGATATTCAGTTCGCACCGAAGATTGAAAGCAAATGCTATTTGATTCAGACGATTAAAAGTTTGAAAGAGGTATTAACTACCGAGGAGTGGAGGTACTTCAACGAGGATTCACAGTTTCGTCACATATTCCATTTGAAATGTGACGAGAACATGAAGATGTTGCCTGTGGCAGTCCTCCTACACCGAACGCTGAAGTTAGAGGAGGAAAAAGAGCAGTTATGGTTTGTTTTAAATGGCGTTCCTATCAGATACTCTATAATCGAGCACGCCATTATATCAGGATTGAAGTGCAACCAGTATCCGGAAGATTGGGAAGGGCGCAGAAAAAACGATTTTCGAATAAAGACCTTCGGACCTGGGAAGGTCACCAGGAAAGCAGTTCTGGAAAAGTTGCAAAAGAGTAAACACAGTCGGATTGACAGAAAGAGATTGGCGACACTGATGTTGCTATCTGGAGTACTCGACCACGGAAACAGAAGCGATGACTCTATCAACCATGATCTGGTTGATATGGTCGATGAACTTGAGTTATGCGAAGAATTTCCGTGGGGAAGGTACACATTCGAGAAAATGGTGGAACAGTTGCGGAAGATTCTACAAAATCCTACACCGAAGGAGAGATGACGGTTGTCTGGATTTGTTGTCCCTCTCATGGTGCTTCCATTCGAATGCATCGAAACTCTTTGCGCGAACGGTTGGTGCACTACTGTTGAAGATGCCGATCCAAGCTGTCCCAGGATGTGCAAGAAGCACATCTCTAACCCCAAATGGACTTTCGGGACGGTGATGAAACAGATTGGCAACGAAGCAAAGGTACGTCACAATGGTCCCACTGGTCACACCGTTTATATTCCATTGGTCACGTTGGTCACGTTGGTCACGTTGGTCACACTGGTCACGTTGGTCCCACTGGTCACGTTGGTCACACTGGTTATGTTGTTTATGTTTTGTATTCGGTCTCACTGGTCACGTTGGTCACACTGGTCACGTTGGTCCCATTGGTCACGTTGGTCACGTTGGTCAC